AAGATTAACAAAATGAGAAAGTCAGAGTTTGATCTGATGAAGAAGATCAACATTGCTTGAGACATTTTCTGTCTCAAGTGACTGACACATTTGCAAGTCCAAATCCTTTTGCATGATGAGCATGTGTTTTCCTCTGTATTGAGGAAAAGCAGACATGGGCCGTGACACACCTGGGGATTTAACCTGTTATCTTATGTCTGACCAATGAGTCAAATTGCTCACAGGTAGATCAGCTTCTGCATGTGTAGAAAGTTACTATAGTGAACACCCGCAGTCTGTGCATGGTTTGTTATTGCCCTGAGCACTAAGAGTATTATGAAGTCATAAATATTACTATAATTACTAAACATTAAACATGAGATCTGATGCTTTGTATGATTTAGAGATCCAAGCTGAAATTCCTAAAGAACTTCAATAGGAAAACCTGCTCTGTCACAGATCTATAGTGACGTGAATTATCCAAGTGAAGCTACAGTTTCTAATGTCTTATTACTATATGATATATATAATTTCCTGTCACAACTCCATCCACTGAAATAATCTTTCACATGTGTTTAAAGGACCTGAGTTAAAAAGTGAGAGATAATCAGAAGATATTTCTCATCTCCTTGCAAAGGAAACAGCCAATATTCAGAGACAAGTTTGCAACTCATAGTCTTTAACTTCACTTTCAAACATTCTTGCAGACTGGAGCACTGACTGAAGCACTTGTGTGCTGTATTCCATGTTATTGCACCAGAGTTTAAGAAACCAAACGAGCTAAGCACACAAACAAAGTGAAAGTAACCCAAGCAAGGCACATTCATTCAATGACATCTGCAACTGATTCAAGGCCTACTGACCACATCAAACTTGGATCAGGCTTTCTGCATATAGACAAATGTCTGCAATCAAGCTGTGGGTAATGTTGCATGCACAGAAGTGAAGGACTCTGAAACTCAGGCTTTTCAGCACCGATGCAGGCTCTAGCTGCTGCCACCAATTTGGACATGACAGCAGACTATTTATTACCATTTTATTCCCATGTAAGGTAATGTACTGCTCTAGGAAAAGCATATTCATTTGAAAAGTCACCCCGAGTAACTCAGTTGCGTGTTGTTAAATAACAGTCAATTGACAAACTGCTGGTTTTTAGCTGAATGCTGGTTTTATTATATAGTGATGCACAGCACCTTAAATGACAGTACTATTATATAATGGTCTAATTTATAGCTCCAGTGTTTTAAAAGAACAAAAAAGAAAGCATATGTTTAATGTTATGAATTCCTATGGTCTTAATGGAAACTTAGGCCTTCGCTTTAAAAGTTTAGTGTATCTGTAAATGCTTTGACACCCAGGAGTAAGTAATATGATTAAACATTATACCTCCATGAAAATGTCTGGTATTCTATGGGATCTGTGAGTTTACATCCAAACAGGACCTAACCTAGGAATTGTTAATCACATGTAACAGAAAAACAACTGGAATTGCTCTAAATACACAAAATACTGTTATGTGTAAATTATCTGGAAGAGACCTATTCCTTGCTTACCCAAGCTATTAAGGAAGGTCTGGGTGCCAGGCAGACAAAGCTAAAAGATGCATAGTTTTGCTTATACACAACTCTTAATGATTTACTATACCTGCCCCCTCCTCATTGATTTCTGCATCGATTATTGTCCAATAGGGTTAAACTTCAACTGCAGCAGTGCTATGCGACCTAGTGCAAAAGCATGAAAAGTATCCGAACTAGAAGTTTTAATAGGTTTGTACTGATCAGGTTTGCACTGCACATAAACAGACACAACCCAAAATTAGTCCTAGCTGTGAGAGACAATTACTTTTTAAGTGAGTTGCTTTCATAGAGAACAGATGATCCTATGATGAATCCCTGAATATTCTCATTTAGAAGACAAGGTCACTGCTTTGTGTGTTTTTTATAAGAATACAAGTGAAAGTTGCTCTACTCGTAGTCATATTCTGATCATTCCATCTTTAAGCCATGTAAAAGGCTACAAAGCACTAGATTTGTATTTTCCGTGTTACTTTTTATCTTGTGATGACCTCTCCTGGTTGAGCTGTTCATTAGCCTTGATTCCAGAAGTTAAGACTGTTGTGATCCCTCTATGCTTATTTCAAAAAAATAGCAGAATGTGATGAATTTATTGCCAAAAACATTATTATGAATAAAATATAAAGTAAGATCTGAGTATTAGTGTCTGTGATACTATGCTCTATGTTTACTGTACTACAAGATGGGCTTTCAACACCCGCTTCATCTTGACATAAAACTTAATGAGATTCAAAGCTTTCAACATGATCACTTCTGAATCAGCATTGCTGAGAGACATCATTTTAATGACAGAGATAGATTTACTGACTTCACAAACTAAACAAACAGTTGAGATGCAATATATTCACCTAAGTGACATACAGTTCTATTCTTTCCAAAACCTGTATGTTTTAATAAGTCAGCACAAGCAGGCTATAAGCAAACACTGAATAGTGAGCTCATATGTAGGGATTTGTAATTCCCTGTACACTATGAATCTTGCATGCTTCCTAAAACCACTGTGAGGAATAAATCTGTTGTTGTTAATTACTTCAAAGTCAAAAGATAAAGTAGCAGTGGAAGAGAAAAGAAAAACGTGGCTGGAAACCAGTTTTACATCAAAGTTGCATTTCACTCCATTTTTAATTATTTCAGAAGTATTCTGAATATGACATTCAAAATCAACGAGGAAAAAGAGATAAAAGACTAAGTGCATTCTCTTGTCAAAGGACAGCAAAAATCCCCAATGCCATTCACAATCAATTACAGACGAAGTGAGAAACAGTCCCAGAAAATCCCGAACAGAGATCAGTTTGTATGCCAAAGCATGCAATGGGATAACCAGTTCAGTGTTGCACCAAAACCCTGTGACACAGCACTTGAGTTCCTACTGTGGTACCACTTCCCAAGCACACACAGATCTTTACAAGAATTTTAAGTATGTACTGCAATGTGAATACTCCTTTTGTCCTTTTAAGGCTGACGAGTACTTCCAGCTATATTTCTGTTTCCTGTAAACAGATCTTGCTCCATCTGACTTTCAGAAGAGAGTCAGAAATGAAATGCTGCACGCTACATAAGCACTGTAGTGCATAAGCTCTTGGAAGATGAATTAATAGAAAGAAATCTTTGGATATCTGAAAAAAACCACTGTCAAGATGGAAATGTATATGAATAAACTGCAATTAAGATATTACATATATCTCCTTATCCCTGGGATTTCTGGTTATGGTGATTTTACTAGTCATTAACTTCTCAGCTAACTTCTTTCAAAAGTTAAAGATTTTTTTAGCTGGGTAATCAGATAGCCCACTGCAGGTCATCTTCACGTTAAACCACAGCTATTAGTTATAGAAAGTCAAAACAAACGAACAAAAACTCGGAAATCCTATTATAAAAATAGCAGAGCAGGGAACTTTGTTTCCCAAGATGAGATTTCCGACAACCTAAATCATAAATCTTTTTTTCCTCCCTGTATATTCCTTTTATGCAGAGCCTGAGAGATGACCATGAAGAAATAAGATTCAGAAGAAAAATTAGATAGCTGGTCAAAACTAAGCAGTAAACCTCAGGATCAATACTTCTCCTAAACCAAAGGCAGAAAAATAACTGAACATCCTGTAGCCTCCTGAGAGCTATCCTGAGACCTAGATACAATGCAGACACTGCTGCACATTTTCTGTTGATACACAAACATATGTCTAAGTGTAAGCAAATCCTGGGACAATAACACTTTCATTTTTCAACAGATATCAGATGATAACAGATAGAAACCCAATGAGAAAGTATAGCAGGGCTCCAGTTCCCCAGTCATTGCACTGTTCATTCCTGCCCCAAGGAATCAAATAAATAAATAAATAGAATGATCCATATAGATCTCTATGCAGTATATACACATTACATTCTAAGACAATTCCCTACTTGGTCAGTAGAACCAGCCCCCATTCACATACACATAATCCCAACACATGTATCTGTAACATCTCAGGACATTTCTTTATAAACAGCAGAGGAAGTCGACAGTAGGGTCTATTTTTAATCATTGTATAAAAATGCACTGCTTCATCTCAGTATGCATGTCAAAAATACTTTGCAAATGGCAAATGCTTTACACGGTCTGAAGAGAAACAACTAAATACTTAACACTGACATCTACCTGCAAACGTTTTGCGGGAAACTACAGCTCAGTGCAGTGTTAAAGATCTGATCTAACACCCATGGAAACCAATGAGTATGCTGTCATTTTGACTCTGACAGCAGAACTGGGTCCTGCATAGGTACTCCTCCTGTCTTAAGTTCAGCATTTCAGCAGATGCTTGATCATTTCTCAACTATTTCTGCCTCCCTAGGAGCACAATTGCTGGTATCCTCTAAAATACCTTTGCTCATTTTATTATGGGAAGCAAAACTTCACTCTCAAGGAAAGCTGTCCTGGCACCATTCCCTGTCATTAACTCACCATCATTCTTTGCTCTTCAAATGAGGCACTATTTTCTCTTGCTGCTCCTTGATATCACACTAGTTATGGAAACAGCTCGCATGTCCTCTTTTCCTTCACACAACTGTGGAAGTACTTCCAAATATAAATTGCATACGCTTTGAGGAAGGTGGGAGAAAAAAAAACCAACCAACCAACCAAAACCCACCCCCAAACTTTGAACAGCTTTTATCTGATTCCTTTCCCCCCTGACTCCATTGCAGAACCGCAACTATATCATAGAGCAGTATACTTTCAACTTTCCAAACCAGCTGCCACTGAAATCATGTATGCTAAGGAAGATCTGATGGGGAGTACTGCAAACAGTATCTAACCTCAGTGCACACATGCACATACAAATACACAGGAAAATCAAAAGCAAAATTCACCAGCAGAGAAAAAAAAACAATCAACCTCCCAGAGTTGTGGGAATTTCCCTCTGGCTTTCTGCAGAGCTGAAATTGTAATGCTTCTTAGCAAAGGGTACTTACGAGATGCAGGCAGAGCAGTCCTGGCTCTGCAGCTAATGCTGCTGAAAATCCAGAGGAAGAGAGCTGCCCTGCAGCCAGCTCGGGTAACCACAAGCATCCTTCACTTCCTGGCTCCCTGTACTCCCAATGCCAGCCGCAGAAGACCTGCTGTTCTCCACTTTGCCCCCTTCTCTCTCTCTCTCCTTCTCTTTCTCGGAGGAGGTGGTGAAGAGGTAAAGGGGGCAGGGCTTTACCTTGGGGTAGAAGCCAACCCCCCTCTTCGTCTGCTATCTCTGGGTTTGCAGCGGCAGGATAAGTCCTGGTACTTTTCTTTCCCTTATTTCTCTGTGTTTCTCTGTGTGTGTGTCTGTGCCTCCTTCTCAGAGGAAATGTAAAAAAAAAAAAACGGGGCGGAAAAAAAAAGAAAAAAGAAAAAAAAATCCAGGAAGTGTCAAACAAGAAGGATTGTAGAAGAGAAAAACAGAAAAAAAAGGAAAACCAATCCCCAAAAAGACAGGGGAGAGGGAGGGAAAGGGAGATGGAGATGAAGGGAAGGGAGAAAGGCGGAAAAAGCCGCTGGTGCTGCTAACGCTGCTGTTGATGCTACCACTGCAGCTGAGCCCTTCTTCCTGTACAGAGCAGCGCTGCTGAGAGAAGCTTGCAATAACCTCCCAGCTCACATATATATACACAGTGTACGCGCACACACAGCCGGGGAGCCAAACACACAGGAGCGGGGAGAGGGGGAGAGAGGGAGGGAGAGACAATCCCGCAGCAGAGAAGCAGGTTCAGAGCCTCCCTCCTCATGTACTCATCATCTTCCAGCAGAAGGAAACGCCGCCACCAGCAGCAGAAACCTCCCCCCCCCGGCCACAAAAAAAAAAAGAAGGCAGCAGAAGGGAAAATCCTCCCCTTCCCTTCGCTTCCTCCAGCTCCTCCCTCTTCCTCCGCGCCCCTCGGGCCTCCAGGACCCTGCTCGTCCTCCCTTGCCTGGTTCAGAGGCAGAGCCAGGGACAGCGGCGGGGACCGTGGACGGGGCCGGGTCCCCCAGCCGCGGGGAGGCCGGGCCGCTGGCGCTGATCGCGGTGCTGACGATGGGCGCGGAGGTTTGCCCGCAGCCCCCGGGGCTCTCTCCCCGCACACCGCGGTGGTAGCGGCCCCCCGCGCTCCAGCCCGCCGGATCCGAGCGAGGCGGGCAGCAGGCAAGTCCTCCGAGCGCTCCTACTTCTGGGGGGTGAGCACCATCCCCGCCTGCAAAGAGCTGGGGCTGCAGGAGCCGCGAACGCAGATGCTTCCATTCGGTAATTAATTCTCGGTCCGAGAGCGAGCCAGGAAGCGAGCCGCGTTGAAGTATCATCATGGTTTTCACCTACAAGATGTGACTGAGACAACCTGGCCATCTCCTAGCCTTATGGTTTAGAGTTTTCAAGAGTCTGACTGCTCTTTTCCATCCCTCTGTATCCCTCCTGCCACTGGCCTTAAACAGACTCAACCAGAAGTTATTGCTCACCAGATACGGTAGAATAACGAGGGTGGGGAGTTATTCATGGATTATTTATTCTACAATCAATGAGGCAAAGAAAAATGAAAACAATTACTTCTCAGGTGTTACATAGAGAAAGAAGGCTGAGAAATGGAGAGGCATAATTTCTTTAGAGGAGCCCCAAAGCAGGGATAAATTATTTTCAGTGACTAATATACATGCTGTTAACAAGTACCTGCTGTTATTTAGTGAGTGTGATGAAGTGGTTAAGACTGTATGTAAGATGAAACTTTTCAGAAGGGGTATTAGGATCCTCAATCCTATTGCTCTTCCGAGGGAGCACAGTGCCTATCTTTCAGGTCACTTTGAAAACTCATCCATACGTAATATGTGATAATCCCAGGAGAGCTGTGGCCTAGAGGTTTGAGACAGCACAGGACAAAGCTTAAGTGCCAGTACTGGGAAAAAGTGTTTCTGTAATCTTGTCCAACTGCCATAATTCCTTTGTCCTTGAACCTTTCCTTGCCTATCAATACCAAGTATTAATATCTTCACATTTTAAATGCTTTCATAGAAGTAATGCCAATACATCTATAGCAAATGTGGAATGAAAACGTTGTGCTATGAACGCTGTTATATCTGGTTTTGAAGGAGTATTCCCATACAGATGTTGTTACCTCTTCTCTGCATCACTCCGTGACCTCCCAATCCTTACACCCACAGGCACTTTCTGCTGCTCAGTAATCATTAGGATACATGAGTTAATTTGCAGAATTAACTAAGAGCCAAATATTAATTAGTGCCATTAAACTAGTTCAAAATTGCCTCTTTTTGTAACTTCTTTCTTGTTAACATCTATTCTCCTCCCGCTCTATGTCCCACAGATTTTCAAATTGGTAAACCCACATTTTGTGTTCTTTAGCTGCAGCAGAAGTGATGCAGCTGATGCACTATCAGAAACTACTACGTATATACCCAGAAAAAACTTCTATGACATGCAAGAAATCTCACTGCTTCCATTCTGAGATCTTGCAACCCTTCCAGTATTCACTGGCCTTTATTGTTCACCTAAGTAATAAACAGCTTCTCTGTGCAAGTATTCAAAAGCTCAGCATATTACATATGGACCATATTGCAATCTAAATTTCTGCTTTTTCAGGTCCAATATGCCAACAAGCACAACTAAAGCAATACAGGTACACATCACCCATTGATACTTTCAAACACATACTTGCAGAGCACCCATTTCAGGCCTCCATGGGACAAAAACCTGACTTGAGTTTTTCAAACTTCACACTTCTTTAGCATATGATAACTGTGTTACAAGTAAGCATGTGTTTAAAAAGTAGTTATAAAGGATAAGACAAGTAATTCAAACCAGGAAGACTGAGCAGGTTGATTGATCAATATCTCAATAATGGTGATAGCAGAAAGTTTCTTTGTGGCTGGAGACGGAAGAAAAGGCACAGATTATTGCATTTTCCCCCCACCTCAGAATAGGATCAGTCCTTAAAAATTGCATAAAATATTTAAACTATGTAGCAACAGCCGTGAGTTGTGCAAGGGTAATGCAATTATTTTTAATATAACCACAACTGGGGCCTGCAAAATCATTAACTTTGATTCTGTCACACAAAAATCATTATAAAGATCTTCAGGCATTTTTTAGTCCTATAAAATAAGTTAACCATAATATATAAATATATACACTTTTTTTTTTTTTCTCCTGGAGGATGTTTTGAAATATTACTTTACATGATTCAACAAATCCAAGTTGAATATATTAGCCTTTGAAATGAAAAAAAATCAAATTGTTGTAGGGCACAATATGAAGTTATGTGATACCTCTCCCTTCTACTCTTCCTCCTAGCCTTTCCTTGCCAGAGTGTAAATGTGAGGATGTTTCCAAGCAAGCACTGAGACACTCCTGCAGTCTAAGCAGGGCAACTACAAGCTTCAGCACCTCTACCCTGCAGCCAAAAAGAGCCTGCAGCATGGGTCAACAGAAACCTGCAGTCCACACACGGGAGGTTAGGAAAGTGTCCTAGGAGCCTGGGACAGACAAACAAGCCAAGATGTGCAGGAGAATCTTCCAGCAAATCTACTCCCATAGGAAAATTACTCCTTCCTTAGTTTTCAAATCAACGATCCCACAGCCTTGAAAAGTGGGGACTTATCTCAATCTAGTGGTAAAATCTCCCTGGGAATTATTAAGACACTAAAGTGTTAAAAGACTCTAGTTATTATAGCTGTACACACATTTTATGTCGCTTAATGGAAATTATACACACATATTGATGAACAAATAGATCATTCTGAATTTACTGAGGCTGCCAAGTATAGTCTCTTAAATGGAATTCATCCTGGACAGAGCTATATTTACAGTATGTGAATGTCAACAACAAAATCACAGTGTCAGCTAGAAAGGATAATTAAGAATTTCAAATGCCAGTGGGACCAAATGGCATCCAAAGAAGTGATCAGCTGGGGCCACAGAAGATAATGTGCCAAGCTGAAAAAGAACCTGAAACTCAGAATCATAGATTCATGGAATGGTTTGGGTTGGAAGAGACCCTCAGAGGTCATCTAAGTCCAATCCCCTGCCATGGGCAGGGGCATCTTCAACTAGATCAGGTTGCCCAGAACCACATCAGGCCTTGAATGATGACATTTTTATAGCATGAATGAAGTTTAAAGCTGAAAGACAATTTTCAGTCTGTTTTGAGAAAACCACTCCAAATGACTGAAAAATTCACCCGGGACGCTCCAACACATGGCAACTTGGGATGTAGCTGCAACTTTTACTGAGGTAACATTTGATTTGATCTGGAAATCACTTCGTTTAGTCAGCAAATGATGATTCTCAAAACACCTTCTGAGCTTCTGAACTAATACTTTTGAATTAATACTGAGAAGTAAAAGCCAAGCTTCTTTATTTCTAACAGACTACCATTTTAACATAGTTTTTCCCTTTTATATTTTTGGTTACCACGGACCCTTTGCATGCCAAGGCTCTAAAAATAATCTGTAGCAGAATTTCCATCCAAGCCTCTAGGATGGTAGCTATGAGAACTTCACACAGGGAAGACAAACACAATGTGTTTCAAATTAGGACCAAAGAAGACTTTATGACTATATGCATAAAATTAAATGGCAAACAATGGACAGCTCTATTACTGAGGCAAGTCTTGGATTTAGTAAGATCAACGCGGGGTTTTCTACTGTGACTGGCTACAAACATGGGTCTTGCTCTGAAGGAGAAAGAGGGCACTTGAAAATTGTGATAAAGACCTGAGGAAAATACTTATTTTCTAGAAATGTAAGGAAGGAAAGTGCTTTCTAACCTTCCTAATATAGCTGAAAAGGAAGATGAGGGTGAGTGACAGAAAAAAGCCATTACCTTCTTCTTGCTTCATGCAGCTAAAAATACGGCATTATAGTTTGAAGTGAATGAATTTTGGCTTGACCATTTTCTTCACTGTAGTTGTACTAAAACAAACAAGCAAATAAAAAGCTGGAAATGTGTATACAGGTAATCATTGCAAAATGAAGTTCTAGTTCTTTCTTTACATGCTTCATAGCAAAGGTGTTTTTAAAAAAGGAATGTTCAACTCTCAAAATGCTCAGTAGGTCTCTATTGAAACTTGTGACCCCGCACTGTCATTCATACAGATGTCAAAAGCAACTGAAGATGTTCAGAAGTTTACTGCTTTGTGCCCCTAGATCTTCTGTCATCTAAACATGTACTCAACATGGCATTTACCTTTAGATGTTTCTTTTGGGATATCTTGGTGTCTCTCTGCATAACGGGGAATTTTGACAATCAAAACAAATAAAAAATCATGCCGTATATCTCAGACGCGTGCCAGATTTGAATCTGCATTTTATAGATGTGCAAATAGAACTGAATTCCATTCTTATTCTGCATCATGACTGAAACAATCAAACAGAAATGGCGGTTACCTGTCAGAAATGCAACTGTTCTACACTAATCACCAGTCTTATTTTGAGCTCATTTCCCGTTTAATGCTCCTTGAAGAAATGGAAGAATGTGTTTTATTTACAAATATGATTTGATTACTGCTCATCCACTTGAACAGTCCACAGTAATTTTCTCCTCCAAAACACAATATTCTTCTACACACTCATGTCTGCCTTTTTCTTCTGAGTTTGCCTTCAAACCCCACGTGTTTCCCTCCTCCTTTCTTTTAAGCACCACCTGTTAATTTATTTGGATGGGTTTTCTATTGCAAAGTAATTCTGCATTCTTACTATCCCTAAAAGTCTATTAATGAAAGAATGAAACAACATTT